AAGACAGCAGCAGCAATTGGGGGAGAATTGAATGAAACTTGCTTTGGAGGAGAAGAAAGTACACGCAGCAGAGATTCATCAGTCTCAGAACAGCCTGAACATCTAAAGGCTGAACACAAAATGTCCAGCAGCATCCACTGAGGAAGAGAGAGTCCAGCCTGAGACTCCAGCATTAACACTGTCCGCCTCAATAATGGAGCGTGTGTGAGGATACAACAACACAGAGCTCGCACTACACCATACCTTCACTTTACTCGGACTTCAAAATATCTGCGTACACACAAAAGCACTCAAGCAGACGACACGTGATGTAGTTTATATGCCAGAGCAGTATGACTCTCCCACAGAGAGACACACAGATATGGAGGAGTCGGAGCATGCTCATCATCCCTGCGCACACAAACCAAACCGACACAACACCGATGTGGCCAATAGAGCTGTGGCTAAACCTTTATTTATGTGGTGTTTTTTTTTTTTTATTGCAGTCTGCACTCTGTTTGTGCTCTGTTGCACAGTTTGTACTTTTGTACTGTCTGGACTGGAAGCTCCCATCACTAAGACAAACTTAAAAAACAAAGCTCTTTCTAATTCTGGAGATGTATAGCTCAGTGTTTAACAGCAGATGGCTGACTTTGCTCATTGCCCTAAAAACACAAGTGTGTCTAACCCAGGGATGGGCAAACTTGATCCTCAAGGGCCATTGTCCCTGCAGAGTTTTGTTCCAACACTACTCAAACACACCTGAACAAACTAATCGGTGTCTTCAAGATCACTTGAACTCTATAGGGAGGTCTGTTTCAATAGGGTTGGAGCTAAACTGTGCAGGACACCGGCCCTCCAGGACCGAGATTGCCCACCCCTGGTCTAACTCCAACCCAGAGTTAAGAACTCTGAGAGCCAGAATGACAGAAAATGACGACTGAAACTCTCAGATCACACACACAGATCAGTCTGGACAGGATGCCTCTCTGATGCGTACGCAGCTACTCACATCTACACACACAGGCTCACATGTGATTCTCTGAACAACATCTAATCTGAAAACATTCATCCAAACCACAGCAGAAAAACACGAGCGTACAGCAGCAGGAAGAACACTTCCATCAGGCTTTTGTCCTGTTTCTACTCAAATATCTCAAACTCTTCAACAAGCACTGTCTAGACGAGGACAAATCCGCTCTTGTTTTTAGAAATAATGAGTCAAAACAGAGTTAAAACAAGCAAAATACTCTTGTTTTTGCAGAACGTCATTTTACTTACCCCACTGGTGGATTATTTAGCTTGTTTTAAGGGAAAAACGTCTCAGGCTGCATCTGTAACCATGGTTCACTGAAGAGAACGAGACGCTGTGTCAAATATCAATGCTGTGGGAACACTTTCAATTCAAGGAAGCACATGATATGGCGTGCCGTCATAAAGGATCTGCAACCCATGTCTGGGAAACATCCATACACACTAATTCATTGCGGACAATTTAGCCTACCCAATTCACCTGTACCACATGTCTTTGGACTTTGGAAACCGGAGCACCCGGAGGAAACCCAAGCCAACACAGGGAGAACATGCAAACTCCACACGGAAACACCAACTGCCATAGCCAGGACTCGAACCAACGACCTTCTTGCTGTGAGGTGACAGCACTACCTACTGCACCACTGCATTGCTGCTTCAAATTCAACTTTGTCGAAATAGGCAATCCAGGCATGTGAGGAGTGTGTCAATTAGACACAGTGTCTTGCTCACCTTGGAGAACCAAGGCTACTGTTGTAACTGCTTCACATATGAATGCTAAATGGGAATGCAATCCATACTGGCAAGTGCCTGGGAGCCATGTCCGCTTAAGCCACTAACATATTTGACCCTAGAGGGGGATCTACATCCAGTTGGTAAAACCGGGTGTAGGTGTGAGGGGTAGATCCCCCTGCTGAGTTGCACATATCTGGCTGATTTGAGTGGGCCCGGACAGCCAAGGGACAGAGCGAGCCCGGGCCTCATGAGCTGGTGTGATAGCATCTACTATCCACCTGCTCAAAGTCTGTTTGGATGCAGAGGAACCATGATGAGGGGTGCCGAATAAAAGAAATAATGGTTCTGTCCAACGCCACTGGGCAGCTCTGTAGACACAAACGTCCCGAGCCATACCAGAGCAAAGAAAATTAAACCTTTCCTCGTCTGACGAAGCAAACAGAGGAGTATTAAAGGCCTGCAGCACTATAGGTCAAGACATATACATTGAGACCTCATGTACATACTCCGCACTGGGGTACAAAACTGCCCTGATCATTCCAGAGGCAAAGTCCAAGTTTGAAGAGGCCACAGTCAAGAGCTGAAGGTCCTCCACTCTTTTGAGTGAATAAACTGACAACAGAAATGGTTTTAAGGGTCAGCATTCTGTCTGACACCCCTAAATGTGTTCAAACACGGCTGCCGACAGGCACTCCAGCACTATCAACAGACCCCAAGTCGGAACCCTAATGCTGCTTGGAGGCCTCAGCCTCAAAGAGCCATGGAGGAAACGTACTACAAAGTGCTTTCTCCCTGCCACAGCCATATCGCCCTGCAGCCCAAGACCGGTTACTCACTGAAGCTGAGCAGGGCTGAGCCTGGTTAGTACCTGGATGGGAGACCACTAGGGAACACAAGGTTGCTGTTGGCAGTGGTGTTAGTGAGGCCAGCAGGGGGCGCTCAACCTGAGGTCTATGTGAGTCCTAATGCCCCAGTAAAAGTGAAGGGGACACTACACTGTCAGTGGGCGCCGTCTTTCGGATGAGACGTTAAACCGAGGTCCTGACTCTCTGTGGTCATTAATAATCCCATGGCACTTCTCGTGAAAGAGCAGGGGTGTAACCACGGTGTCCTGGCCAAACTCCCTCTATCGGCCCTTACGATCATGGCCTCCCAATCATCCCCTTCCATCGAATTGGCTCTATCACTGTCTCTCCACTCCACCAATAGCTGGTGTGGGGTAAGTGCACTGGCATCGTTGTCCTGTGGCTGCCGTCGCATCATTCAAGTGGAGCTGCACACTGGTGGTGGTGTGGAGAGACCCCCCTCATGATTCTGGTGCTTTGGGTGTATGGCCATACACAATAAATGCGCTATATAAACACACATTACATTACATTACATTACTAAATGATCAGACGAATTTAGCTGTCACATATACCATTAATTTGAGGGAGCACTGTCTAGGGCTGAGCTGACTGAGATCGGAGGATCTTCCTGACTGGAATCTCCCACAGGAGGCTGTCCAGGATGGACACTAGGTCCAAAAACCGAACTCGGAACAACCAAAACGAGGCTACCTAGAAAAGGCAGAGCCTGTCTTCTCTGACCCTCTACAGAACTCCTAGGAGAGCGATCGAGGGAAATACATACAGATGTTACCTTGGACACATCTGTACCGTGGTATCCAGTCCCAATGGAGCCGGAATCAAAATTGGGTGGTTTCTTGAGAGGCTTCCAACTGGCCTGCACCACATGTGGGTATTTCTGAAAGAGCGCTCGATGGCTTCTCAACACTTTCATAGGGAGAGTCTTTTCGAGAGCTGACTGCGCATGCTCCTCTCCCAAACAATCCACACACATAACATGCGAGTTCTGTTCGGGGAAGAAACGAGGACAATAATTTTTTTCTGCAATTTATATATAAATATATAGTTTTGGAGAGTAAAGAGGACAGTGTCACAGTGCTCGTGAAGACAATGAAAGCTGAAGCTGTATGAGCAGGCCCAGGCTTTTATAGGCTGGTATGATGTCACGCATCACCGGGACATCCTGCTAATTCCATTGAAGTGATTTCACATGCGCTTCAGGACTTCCTGGAATTGAAAGTGTACCCATAGCATCAATACTTAATGCAGCGTTGAAGTTCCCTGAAGGGGAAGTCTTGTTTGCTCATCTAGAAAATGTGTCTTGCTTTAAGATTTTTAGATTTTTGGACTAGAATCAGGACAAAAGCTCCAAGTAAACAATCATATTTAGCAGTGCAGAGCGTGTGCAGGCATGGCCTGATAACCGCATTGAAGGATTACTGCAGTTTGGAAAAGGTTTTGGAACCACTCAATTTTCTTTTCTACTATTCCTACAGTGCATGTGTGTGTTGTGTGTGTGTGTGTGTGTGTGTGTGTGTGTTGTGTGTGTGTTTTTTTAATAATTATTTTATTTAGTCTTTTAGGAAAACTGTATATCCAAAGCTACTGGTCAGCCCACGATTCAGCAAACATCTGAAAAGCACATCTCTGATAAACCACCAAGGTAGCAAAGATTGATCTGGAGGATCTGGTCCTCATTTGGCATAAATCAGGCCCAGCAGGCATTCATCTGGCACTGGCATACAGCATGTGGATTGGCAGAGGTGACAGCTTCTACAAGGCAGCACACAATACTTGGGCCAGAAGTAAAATGTAATATTTGACCTAGGTGTCAATCTTTGATATGTGGGCCATGTAAGTTTGGCCCATCTTGACCCACATTTTAAACATATTTTTAATATTTTCAAATAAAGAAACCTAGCAATCAGGTCACTTTGAGAAAAAGCACGCAAATAGCACGCCTAAAGTGCAATGATTCATGGGTAGATTCATTTCATTGCAGTCGTAACACATCAACATATCTGGCCCAGTTATGGGTTATTAACTTGGCTGAGACTTGGCCCAGATATAGTCCATGTTTGGCCCTTGTCTGGAAGCCAGTCTTGGTTCAGTCATGTACCGTAATTCACTGTGGCATGTGGGCCAAGCAAAAGCTGAATGTGTGTGCCAGAGCTGGGCCGGAGATATTTAGCTATGTGGTCAAAATCCATCCTGCTGTACAGCGTGTGTGTGTGTGTGTGTGTGTGTGTGTGTGTTGGGTTCTTACTGTTTAATTCAACTCATCGTTATTTCTATAACACCTTTACGATGTAGATTGGGTCAAAGCAGTTGAACACAGATGAAGCTCTGGTGACATGAAACTGCTTCAGTCCAGTTCTCAGAATTATAAAAAGAGTTTTCGTACCTTCTTTGCAGTATTTCCCCCTGAAGCGTGTGTGTGAGCAGTCGCATTGGACCTCCCCGAACTGCACGCTGCAGACTCCTCCGTTCAGGCAGGGGTTCTGTTTGCTGCACAGGAGCTCCAGGTCGCTGTGTATGCCGTGGCTGTTGATCAGCGCTGGAGGAATCTCGCCCAGCTTCAGGTTGGAGATCAGACCCAGGAACGGCGGCTCGTACTTCACTGTGCTGGAGGTGAGGGCGGACAGGCGGACGTCTGGTGGGATCCCCCCCACAAACAGATCACTGACCACCGCCATCTCCCTGCGTTTGGAGCGCACCTCGGCCGCCCGGGCCTCCCCGTCCACCATCAGCAGCGTCTGTCGGTAGTTTCGGGTCAGCAGCACCATGTGCCAGCGGTCATCACTGACGCGCGTCTCCGTCTGCAGCGTGGCCGGCTCTGCGCAGTGGATGGCGAAGCGCAGATGCAGGACTCCTCCAGAGATCAGCAGCTCCAGGAAATCACAGTTCCCTCCATCATCCAGATACAGCACCAGAGCTTTACTGATGTTGGTCTTCAGGCTGAAGCTGAGCTCTCCCACAGATCCCGCTTCCCACCGAGAGTACCGTGCCCACTGCCCCGGAGCCCCGCCGAACTCCAGAGATGCACACACACACACGCCAGACAACAGCAGCACACACACCCAAAACACACGCCGGGACTCCATCTCACACTCGCTGATGATGAAAACACTCCTCAGCTTCTCAGGTCAGCTGATTCCCAACACTGCGGCTCCACTCCGAGAGGTGAACTACTCCTGCTTCTGTCTTTATCCGTTTATCCAGACTCGATCCGTGGTCTCTCCATTAGGATGAAGCAGAATTACACTGTTGGATCCCAATCTGAGTTGTGATGTTGTGGGGGCAGTTGTGGCCTAATGGTCAGACTTCAATTGGACTCCAAAGGTCTCAGGTTTGAGTCCTGGCAGCAGCTCAACACCACAGCGGAGGAAATTCCCTTGAGGAGGCACCGATCCCCCACTGGTCCCCGGGTAGGCCGCCGTTTCAGGGGTGTAAGTTGCGTTGGATAAAAGCGTCGGCTATATGCATGAATGTGGATGTTTTACAGGAGTCCGGCAGATGTGTGTTTAGCAGACGGACAGATGTGCAGCTCATGCTCATGTTGAGTTTATCTGGAGCTCATGTTTCCGGCTGGACACGGTGAACTCCACACCTAGGAGAAAAAACAGAACATGTGATGAGAAACACAAGCACACAACCTTCACACACACAGGCTGACTGGGTTATTGTAGCTTTGAGCTGGGTTATAGCTCACTGAGGATCATTCATTCCAGCAGATATTGATCACAGAGGTTGGTGAGATCAGCTGTTCAGTGGGAGACAGACGTAGGCCCAGTGCCAATTCTACCCCTTAGCCCTTCCCCTACCCCTTGTTTTGCGCGTCCCCGTTAAGGGGGAGGGGTGTCCCAATTCTTTTTAGCTTTAAGGCGTAGGGCTAAGGGGAAGGGGTATAGATTGCTCTTCAAGCCAAGATTTTTCCGGACCACAAAACCAAGGGGTAAGAGAATTTCCCAGAATACACCAGCCACAACAGCAGGATAGCTGCACCCGGACATCAGGAGATCCACAAATTAACATTTGTTGTCATTTTTATGAATTCTCTCAACAAACAGCACATGTTTAATATAATCATAACCATGTCTGTGTTTACCGTCATGCTTTAATAAAAACACTCATGTAAAAACTGCTAAATGTGGCGATCAATAATCCATCATAACTCCTGTACAGCAGCCCCACAACATCCTGACACTCCAGTCCCCTGTCAGAAGAGTCTAGTGTGTGTGATGAGCTGTTCACAGAGTCTGCTGTAGTGTTCATGCTGTTCTGGTGTGTTTACATGATGAATATGGCCACGGTGTGAACACACAGTACAGTTATGATCTTATTGCCACATTATTTGGTCATGATAACATGATATCTGCCTTCAGTGATGTCCTGAAGATAAACACCAAACAACACAACTGGAGTAACTCCAGCAGTCTCCATCGTCTGATCTCATATGAAGCAGGAGATGGCGATGACACATGATGACCTGTGCAGGTGCTGTAGTGCTGGCACAATTCTTAGGGGTGAATTTTGAAGCCCTTCACACTACGTTTCAAGGGGAAGGGGAAGGGGTACAACAATAAAATTGGGCCAATAAAAACGGTCTGATAAAATCAGCATTCCCACTTTAAGCCTATTGTCAAATTACCTGATGCTCACTGACTAAAAGGCAGAAACACTGCAAACATGCTTTCCTTGTGTAGAGTTTTTATTTAGTTTCTACTCCAAATATCTAAAGATTCTGAAATCAATGGTGATCAAGTCAAACATATTGTCTGAGAAATAATAAAGAAGCACAATAACCTTGTTTTTGGTTTTGACATGATATCTCTTTGCTCATTGTCAGATTATTTTGCTTGTTTTAAGGACAAACTCATCAAACTTCATTTTAACTTATTATTTCTGAAAACAAGACTATATTTTGCTCGTCTATAGAATGCTTTTTGATATTTAGACTAGAAACAAGACAAAAACTCTGGGTAAGGAAAGCATTTGTTTTTTATAATTATTTTTTAGGGGTTTTCACCTTTATTGACAGGACATATATAGAGACAGGAAAGTGTGGGGAGCAGAGATAGCGGAAGGATCAGCAAAGGACCTCGAGACGGGAATCGAACTCGGGTCGCTGCGAGCACCTCGGTGCCATGTGTCAACGCACTAACCACCAGGCTATTGGTGCCGACAGGAAAAAGCATTTGTGATGTGTATTCTGTGACAAATCTAAAAAATGATCAGATGTGCTCCAACATTAGGCACATTCAAATCAAGACTGAACACACATCTGTTGAGCTGTGCCTTTACTGAATGAGCACTGTGCTGCGTCCGACAGATCACACTATTATGTTTTTCTTTTATATTCTTGTATATCACATTTTACCCGTTATGTTTTTTTTTTTACTTGTTTCTTTTATTCTTGTTTATGTAAAGCACTTTGAATTGCCACTGTGTATGAAATGTGCTATATAAATAAACCTGCCTTGCCTTGCCTTGCCTAGGTCTGGGATGAAAACCGTTTTCAAGGTATACCGCGGTTTAGAAATTATCATTACCGGTCATTATCATTATCATTACCGGCTATACTGTTCCTGAGGTATGTGTATGTTTTTTTTTAGGAAAACAGTATCTCCAGCAGAAAAGCTCTCCAGAGATGCTGTTTTACATTGTGAAGAATTCAGAGTTTTTAAAACTAATGAAGACAGCAGAAGGCAATGATTGATTTGAATTATTCAGCCGGACATGTTTACTGCTGCAAAATATGATAGATGTTTCTCAAAATAACATATATTGTGCTCAAAGGAGAAAAAAGTTAAAGAAAAATAGTTGTTTTTTTAGCCAGACATTTAAAAAGAAGATACTTTAGAGCAGTGATCACAATAGCGTCAAATAGTGATATTTATATCCAAGGTTATCACACCGTCAGAATCTTATACTGGCCCATGTCTAGACATATCCACATTATTTTTGAAGCTAGAGCCGCGTGGCAGCCACTGAACCTCAAATGTGTCAATACTATTGGTCTCATTCACTTTCATTCATTTCAATTTTAGAAATCAAATCAGCTTCAACACTGTAATTCATGCTGAAGTATATTTGATTGGCAGTTGACAAGCGGGAAAGGAAAACGACGGCCTGGAGAAAATAAAGACAAACTACAGTAACAGCAGAACAGGTGGTGTACTGCGGTAACACACTTACATTCTGATGTACCGTAACATTAAAAATGACCAGCAGAAATCCCTGATATTCCCTGACTCGGGAAACACATTCGTTCATTCATTTTCTTTCGGCTTAGTTTCTTATTTAAACATTTATTTGTAGCGTTTTGCCTTTATTAGATAGAACAGTAATCAAGACAGGAGGCGAAGTTGGAGAGAGAGAGAAGAAGGTAGGGTCGTGAAATATCCTCGAGCCGGGATTCGAACTCTGGACGCCCTGAAGTGCTCCTGCTCCATATGTCAGCGCACTAATTGCCTTAATTTGCTTAGTTTCTTATTTATCAGAGATCGCCACAGTGGAATGAACTGCCAACTTTTCCAGCATAAGTTTTACACAGCGGATGCCCTTTCAACTTTAAACCCAGTACTGGGAAACACCCATACACACTCATTCACACACACACACACACACACACTCATACACTATGGCCAGTGTAGTTGATCAGTTCCCCTATAGTGCATGTGTTTGGACTGTGGGGGAAACCGGAGCACCCGGAGGAAACCCACACCAACACGGGGAGAACATGCCAACTCCACACAGAAACACCAACTGACCCAGCCGAGACTCAAACCAGAGATCTTCTTGCTGTGAGGCCACAGTGTAACCAGAGCTGAACTCTTCTTCTGTGGTGTCCTGTTACTCTCCTGTGTTTATATCGCAGCGCTGCTCTGCTCTGATCTGAAGCTCTGTGTGCAGGCCTGATTGCAGCTCTTGACCCTTCACTGAGACCTGCACATTATTCTGGAGAGAGACTTTAACTGCAGCCCCTCATGATTAAACACTCCCAAAGCTGATCCTGTAACCCCAGCCGCAGACATCCTGCTCTTATAGCACACATACATCAACTACATTAACATGCAAATCAGAACTGAGCCACTCCCACTCCAGTGGACACTTCAGCCAATCACATGCAGAGAATATGCTGATTACCCTGTAAACACTGGATTCCCTGATTAATGCAAACAGCAGGAAGCTTTTTCTGGACAAGAGAAACATCTTGTGTTCAGGAATAATGAGTCAAAAACAAGAGAAATGAGCTGAGCAAAATAATACTGATTTACTCATGATGTTAGATGACTACTCTTCCCCCACTGTCAGATTATTCTGCCTGTTTTAAAGTATTTCTGAACACAACACTATCTGTTACTCTTGTCTGGTAAATGCTTCTAGATTTCAGTGTGTGTTCTTTAATCAGTCGTATGAACACACACACACACACACACACACACGCACACACGCACACACGCGCACACACGCACACACACACGCACACACACGCACACACACACGCACGCACACACACGCGCACGCACGCACGCACGCACGCACGCACGCACGCACACACACACGCACGCACGCGCACACACACACACACACACACACACACACACACACACACACACACACACACACACACACACACACACACACACACACACACACACACACACACACACACACACACACACACACACACACTAGGCTCAGCAGAAACAGAAATGTGCTTTGATGTCTAGCATAAGCTCTAAATTCAGTCTAAATGCTGCAAACAGCTATGCTAATGTGGAGCGCCGCACTGAATTAATCTAGCAGGAAAACAGGCAGCCATGTTGAACGCGCAGCCGTTTATTAAAGGGTCAGTGATTGTCAGATGATGATAATGAGCCTCTTCATGCGTATGAATATATAATGTCCACTTCAGAAACAGCAGAGCACTTATTCAACACACACACACACGGCCCGAGGGTCACACACACACACACAGAGAGAGAGAGAGTGAGCGAGAGAGGCTTATGAAAACTCTCTGCACAGGTTTAATATTCTGATCTTCTCTAAACAGCATGGCCTCTTGCTTTAAAAGGTTTGGAATGTAAACTTTAACAGCGCCTCTGTCCGTGTTTCGCTGTTAGCCTCGTCCACAGTTAATTCCTCTACACTTCTGGAAAAGATCTGTGCAGATTTCCTTCAACATAATTCACCAAGAAAGAGCTCCCAATGTACGGAAGACTCTGATTTAATAGATCCGCGTCAGCGTCAAGCAGGAGCAGATCGTGAGGTGCTCAGGTGTGTTTGTTTCTGTGCACATGCTCAGTTTGCTGTTGATTAAGCTGCATTGCTTTCACCAGCGCTGGTTGAGTTGCACATAGAGAATCACGTCTTTACTCTGGGATTATCACTCTTAATAAATACACTTGCAGATGAAGTAAATCATATCTCAAAGCATTAACTGGAACACATGCAACACTAAATGGAGTCTAGCTTTAGGTTTGTTCAGAGGTTATTTATTATGCTGTTGGGCTGCCATCTCTGGTCATTTTGGATTGTTTTGCTGATCCATAATTTAGTTGGAGCACTTTGGCTGTTGTTTATTTATGTTACATTGTCTTAAGACTTGTACACACTTTTCGTTTGCGATTATTACCAGTGTTTTTCACAGAGGATTTTCCAGATTCAAACCCAAGCGATATTCACTGCTGTCGAGCAGCCGAATCACTCCTTGACGTTAGATGGCGCTACATAACTTTAAGCTTCTGTGACCCCAGTGTGGCCAGATAATTATCGTATTTGTATGATAATTTCGACCTCTGTACGATCAATAATGAGAAAAATCCTATAATGTACGAGGATTTCAGAATTTTATGGCATTTAAAAGTAACTTCATTGTAATCTTCGTGCTTCTTTACTTATTGATCGAGCTGCATCTTTTCTTGTGCTGTCTGAGAGGAGTAGCTGGAGTTAGGCACGTTTTCTATCTTACGTTGCCTCTTCTCAGCCAATCAACGTGGAGAATGGCTCTCTCTCTCTCTCTCTCTCTCTCTCTCTC